TGGGCACATATATACCTTTAAAATACACTATTAAATTGTGGAAGGGGTAAAAGATCTCCATAAAGTTTGATATCGTAACAACAATTTTGGCCAAAGTTGAAGTATTTTTCAGACCATTTTCCCAAAAAATTATAGGTGTTTCTCCAACGAATAGTAATAACTAAGTTGACTACATTAGTTATCGAAAATTCAACTATTTGATCAAACTTTTGAGAGGTCAAGATACTTATTTTAAAAATTAAGGTATTTAACCAAGCTTTTCACCAAAGAAGGAGTATTAATTTTTCCAAATATCACAATTAATTTAAATTCAAAAAGTTGCTGAAGTTGTATATTTCCAGAAATTGAAGGGTGAATATGCAATTAATGGAACTTCCTTTCGTTCTTCTCCCAATCAGCTGAAACTTCTAAAACCCGCGTAAAACCTCCCTAAAGCCCTAATTTGAGTGCTTCACATTTTACCCAAATTTCATCTGAAAATGCAAGTGAATCGCCGGATTTTCCAAGCCCTAACCGGAATTACAAATCGATTTTACCATTCTGACAAGCCGAAGAAAGTGTCACTCTACTCTAAAATAAGTCCACTGGGAAATCCTACCTGTACCGTAACCAATGAGCTGGATGAATGGGTTTGCAAGGGCAATAAAATCCGATTCGCGGAGATGCAACGCATAATTCTTGATCTTCGCAAACGCAAACGCTTCAGTCAGGCCCTGGAGGTACCTATCAGTTCATACTTCTTTTTGAAAGTAAAAAGGATTGCTTTTTGGGTTTATTTTCTTTTTGCTGTTTATATTTTGTTGAAACGTTTGCAGCTAATTGGAATATTAGAAATACGATAGTCTACTTTTCTGTTGTTGGTGTTGTGGAATTGGTGAAGCTGCTCAAATGTTAGTAATAATTTAGGACTTGTTTTATGATTGGTGATGCCCGGACCGGACCAGTTTGCGTGTACTTGGACTATTCCATGGCTACCTGCTACCTCCACTCGTATATGAATTATATGAACCTAAGACCTCATGGTTCTCTTTGGAATTACAATAACATTTCTGATTATTTAAAAATAAATGATTATTAAGGGGTTTCCCATTGAAAATATTTTTCATGGAAGATATGTCTCTTTGTTATGGAAATGCTGTTCATTTATCAGATTCTTCTGTTTCTGCATGTATATGTGTTCTTTGTCCTGACTGAATGGATGTTAATTGTTGAGCAGGCTTCCGAGTGGTTGAAGAGTTCTGGTATTTTCACTTTTTCATCAACTGAGCATGCAGTACAACTGGATCTGATTGGTAAGGTTCATGGGTTTCCTGATGCAGAAAGCTACTTCAATAACTTGAGCAAAGAAGATAAGAATGATAAGACATATGGTGCTCTTCTACATTGTTATGTTCGCCAGTGCCAAATGGAAAAGGCATTGACACATCTGCGGAAGATGGAGGAGGAGGGTGTTTCTCTATCTTCTGTGGCCTTCAACGATATAATGTCACTGTACACGAGAACTGGTGAGTATGAAAGGATCCCTGAAATGCTACGCCATATGAAGGAAATTGGGGTCTGTCCTGACAATTTAAGTTATAGAATCTGTATCAATTCATATGGAGCAAGATCAGATATTGAGGGGATGGAGAGGGTCTTAAATGAAATGGAGAACCAATCCTTCATTGTCATGGACTGGAACACCTATGCTGCTGTGGCAAATACATATGTTAAAGAAGGCCTAAATGATAAAGCAAACAGTTTCCTCAAGAAAGCGGAGGAGAAGATAGATAATAAAGAAGGGATCGGTTATAATTACCTCATCTCTGTACATTCTAAACTAGGAAACAAAGATGAAGTCATAAGATTATGGTTTCTTGAGAAGAGTGCTCTAAAGAGGTGCATAAATCGGGATTATATAAATATGTTAGAAGCTCTAGTGAGACTTGATTCGCTTGAAGAAGCGGAGCAGTTGCTCAAGGAGTGGGAGACATCTGATAACTGTTATGATATCAGAGTACCATACATAGTCATTATAGGGTATACGGATAAACAGCTATATGAAAAGGCAGAGACCATGCTTGAAGATTTATCTACAAAAGGGAAGATACTAACACCAAATGTTTGGGGAAGACTGGCAGCAGGGTACCTAGATAAAGATAAGTTTGAGAGGGGTGTGAAATGCATGAAAGTTGCTCTTTCCTTGAAGAAGGATAGAAAAGGATGGAAGCCTGACCCTAAGGTCATCATGAGAATACTCAGTTTGTTTGCGGAGAATGGCAATGTGAATGACGCTGAATCATTTTTTCATTCACTGAGGCCCATTGTCGCTGTAAACAGAGAGATGTATCATGCCTTACTAAAATCATATATAGCAGATGGTAAAGAAGTTGAAAGCCTTTTAAACAGTATGAGAGATGATAACATTGATGAAAATGAAGAAACAAAAGTGATACTTGGAATAAACCAATGAGGTTCTAACAGTTAAATGCTCTGTAGGAATTTCCTCAATTGTCAATTCTAGATAACTGTTTAGTCTAGTGATGGACATGTGTTTGTGTGTGAAAAACACATTTGTGTGTCCAGGCTTGCCATGTTCATAACAGTTTATGCCGATCCTTTGTTGTTCCTCCTTCCATCGTTCTTGCTTGGTTTTCTTCTCTTCATAATGTTGTCCATTCCCTTGAAAATCATTGCCAAGTCTTCCTGACTTTCTTCATCATCATGTAATTCATTTTCTATTTCCTCAAAGAAGGTGTTGAATACAACATTTAATCTCTTTCTTTCCCTTCCATGCTTTTGAAGATAAGTTTTCTCGTAAATGATAAGCTTGATTCGAAGTTCATCATATGACATTTGAACCAGACTTTCATATTCAATTGCATCAACAAAAGGTTTCCACACTCTAGGCAAAATCCTCAGAGTTTTTCTGACTTGTTCATAATTAGAGTAGGAATGTCTTAAAGCCTCGAGATCTCCAAGAATTTTATTAATTCTCCCAAACATGTCTTTAATGGTTTCATCTTCTTTCATCGAGAAAGTCTCGTACTCATGAATTAATTGATACATCCAGTCTTCCTTTAACTTCTCTGTACCTTCATGTCTTATCTCCAATCTGTCCCATACTTCCTTTGCAGTCTTACAACTATCAATCTTTCCAAACTCTTCCCAGCTCAAAGCGCAATTAAGTAGGTGTTTAGCTCTAGCATTGTGTTCGATGACATCCCTTTGTTCTCTGGTATACTTAACTGTTTTTGGTTTAGTAGCAGATGCCTCATCTTCATGTTCCTTTCCTTCCTCATCACCAGGAATTGGAAGTGGTCCGTTCTGTATGATTAGCCATGATTGATAGTCAACTGATTGCACATACGCTCTCATTCTAGCCTTCCAATGGCGATAATTTTTTCCATCGAAGTATGGTGGCCTCGAATCTTCTGGTTGAACGTATTCCTCTGCAAATTGATGACTGGCCATTGGTCTTTTCTCACTTTCTGCTGAGCAAAAACAAACCTGTGAGAGATTAGAGATAAATTGCAGGAAAGTAAATGCCAATGTTCCAAAGGTTGGTTTACACTTGTGGCTGATTTGTTTCTTTGAATATCTCCAAATTAAAGAAATCACAATCTATAGTCCAAATCTTCAGATTTTCCATTCTTCCTTATATATCATTGTATGAAATACTTTTGGGAGACTATTATAATTGGATTTTACCCACACGACGTTTACACTAACTCAACAGCTACATGCTTCACTCACATACAATGTTATCATTACACATATATATCATTTGGCTGCATACGTCATAGCAAAGGCTGAGTTACAATTTGAAATTTATGAGGCTTTGAACTTATCATCGAAGTTTAATTTTGAGTTCGCAATCAAATATATTTTTTATGCAAAAAGTTGTTGAGCTACACCAATCTAATACACGTGATTGAATATTTATACATATTTAATAAAAGAAATGGTTGAGTTGCCACAAGCTCAACCAGGAAACAAACCCCTTACTTTAGCTAACAACAAGTTTCGAACTTGAAACCTCAAACATGGAAGTGTCAAGCCCAAACCACAGGGCCAGACTGAAGGGTATTCCTACTCTTATTTTGGCGTTAAACATACCATCTTGATTGGAAACACATACAAATGGAAGCAATCGACATTGCGGGTGACAATTGGGCGGGTCAAAATGGGTCGAGACCCAACCTAACCCAAATTTATTTGGACCAAAATGGGTTGGGTCAAAATGGGTTAGGTAACGGGTCATAACTCAATCCACTCAATTTTTACTAATTTTTAATTGCTTTATTTGTTGCTCCATTTTATAAGCTTTTAGTACCTAATATTCTTTATTATAACTATATATAATATATAGAATAAAAAAATAAAAAAAATATTTTGACAAGATTTCTCAAAAATCAATTTAGGTTACGTATCAATCCAATTTTTAATGGATTGAAATGAGTTGAGCTAATAGATGACCCAAACCTAAATGAGTTGGATCGGATTGGCGAGTTGGATTTGATTTTGCCACCCCTACCCTTACTTGAATATAATATACAACACAAAAATAAATTTTAATCGAACATTAAAAAAAAATTACCTCTTGAAGTAAAAACACTACTATCAAATGTCTTCTCGTCTCCCGGAGGAATCCCTGATAAGTAGTTTTCTTTGTGGGAAAATGCCGTTTATATAGCACCCTCTGCACTCATTTTTCATTTCGGCATTTTATTTTAGACTAGTTTTTTTTTTAAACTCTATTTTTTAGGTATCATTTAAGCACAACATACTAATTTTATGATTCTTTTAATTTTTATTTATGTTCTCCGTTGCAATTTTTCATTTAAAAAATTAATATTTGTCAATTAGTTTCCGTAAAATAATTTTTTGAGAGTTCCTCTATATTTTTGGATTAAAAAAACCGACAAAAGTATACCAACTTTCTTTCTTAAAAATGCTACATATTTTTCTTTTTTTCATATTCAGGCTATCAGGATTTAACTTAAATAGTACTAACTTTTCTAATTCTTAATTCAACTAAATACGGATAAATGAACTCATCTTCAATATGAGTTAAAAATGACTTGTTCATTGCTAATAACACTACTAAAAAACTCTAAAATTCGACAGACTTTGTTGGATTCTCGTTGATTTTATTAAGAAAGAAAACCTGCGCACTTTCATCGGTTATTTTTCACGCAAAATACAAAGAATTTTAAGAAAAAAATTAAAAAAAAAAGATAATCAATGTTTGTCTATCAATTTTTTTATTTGTTTTAGGAAAACTAAAAGACAAATGTCTATTTTTAAAATGCAAAATTAGAGTTGAAGAGCATATTAAAAATAAAAAAATCATAAAATTAATATTTTCTGTATGAATAGTATATAAAAAATAGAGTTGAAAGGTTTAAATGAAACAAAGGCTACAATAGAATGTCAAATGAAAAAGGGAAACTTACATAAATATATTATATTAAGAAAAAATATTTACCATTTATAGCAATAACATTTTCTTTTCACTTGATCACTTTTAATACATATTATAGAAAACAATTTATAAAATACATATAATACAAGTTTTGTTGATAAATAGTACATTTATCACACATTTTAATACACTTAGGGGCCGTTTGGTTACTGGATAAGGGCAAAGTTAATACATGAATAATTTGGTTATTCATGTATTAATTTTATACCATGTTTAGTTTGTAAATAGAATCAAAATTACTCATGTATAAATTTTATACAATGTTTGGTTGATGTGTCTCCAAATGTTGTATAAAAGTTATTCATATATTGATTTATGTGGTGTTTGATTGCATTTTTGTAATTCTACATAGCTAATACTCACATAACTTATGAGGAAATCTATGTATAATTTTATGCTGGGTAGAAGGTGGAATAAGTTATGAGGATTAGTTATATATGGATTAAAATAATAAAACTACATATATACCCTTAATTTGTTTACTTAATTATTTATTTGTAAATAATAATGTGTATTAATATTAATTCACAAGATTAAGGAGTCATTTTTTTTAAAAAAAGGACGCCCCTAACTCATTTTTTTTTAGTTTCGTGATTGCTTCCCCCACCCCCTCCACCCCGCCCCACAAACT